CTGGCACCAGCCCCCGCCCCGCCGCGGCCCCGGGGGACACCCAGCCTGCTCCCCCAAACCCCGGGCTCTCCTGAGCCCCCGCTACCCGCACCCGCAGGTCAACAGCCAGTGACTTTGCTGCCCCGAGTCTTTTGGAAATCTGTTTTTCCCGGGTCAGGTCTATTTAGGACCCAACGTGGCCCTTCCCCCATTACACTTCATTTAAAACACCGGGACGATGTTATTTATTGTCGAACTAAATAGAACATATCACCTCTAGTTAAATTTGTAAATTATATTATGCTGCTGTTCTGGCTTTGTTTTTCATAATTTTTAAAAATCCGAACAAATCAATTATATTAGCCATATGGCTTGATCATATCAGCTAATTTCCATTTTTGTACAGTAATTGTTGTTTAAACACTGACAACTTATTAATTAAGGTGTTTAGGAAAGATCTCTCCAGTCCTGTCTTATTTAAAAGATGATTGAAATGACAATGAATACTCCAAGTAAAGTCATTAAACCATTCCTCCCTGTGTTTTTCACTTTGTGTGTATTTAAAGAGTTCACAACAGCAGTAGCTGAGCTGCAGCCTGATTTATACTTCTGGAACGGAGGCCGTGAGGCCATCAGGCTTTCAATTCAATCCATTCCAGTTTGTAATGATTTGCTTAAAAGAAGCCAGTTTTTGGTATGCAGCAGGTAAGTAGTCATTTTTCTTGGTTATTTTAAAGGTGTGTAGTATTGAGAATGTACAAGTGGTTCCACTTTGGCATTTGCACACTGCAAATATAAAACTTCACCCCTCAGTGATCTTAATACTTCGTCCATTAAATGTACTTACTCATTTAAATGGGAGTGTATTTAACCACTAGACAGATGGTCTACAGTGCGCACAATTATAAAGCAAGGGTTTGTGTACGTTGCCATATTTTAGACTCCAGATTTCCTGCTTCCCTATACATTTTTGCAAGCAGTTTATTTTTCCACACAAAATACTAACACAGGTGGAGAAGCAGTCTGGAATTAATTTCTTCTGCTATCAGAGATCCAGAGCATAGTCCTTCAGGCAATCGTCTCAGTTTTCTGACAAGGATTTTAACCACTTCGGTACCTCAGATTTTTAGAGCCTTTTAAAAACTATTCTGAAATGCTCTTTAGCACACTGGGATTTTAAATATTTGACAGACATTTCTGATTGTGTTTACTTTATTGAGTAAATACTGAAAAAGTATCTTGGTGCCACATCAGGAAAACTGAAGCAGTGACCAGGCAATGAGAGGTGGCAGGTTTTATAAGCTGTAGTGTACTACAAATGCAAGGAGAAGGTTGCATGCGGAAAGTTAGGAAACACCAAAACTGAGGATTGCATTACAAGCTGACTACATTTGCTGTAGGCCTGTCTCATGCAGGCAAAGGGGAGCTGGTCTTCACTCACTGATCAGCTAATAAAGCCTCTGTGTTTGTCTTGCCTGAGTTGGGCTCTCGGCAATATTTCTCATGTAAGATTCCAGCTTTGGGTTAAATACAGATTTGGTAATTTTCTGACCAGACTGTCCATGGTTCTCCTCACTCCCTCTCCTGCGTACCTCACAAACATTAACAAATTAACTTTCAGAAAGACTCTATAAAGTGAGGATTTAACTCCATTTTATAACTGGGATCCCAAAGATCAGAGACACACAAAATCTGCATTCATTTTGTATGCCTCATGGAGGATACTGAGCTGATAATTTTGGTGTACTCACCAACCATATTTGCTCATTGCTTTGCAAAACAAAATATTGAATGTGATTTGAAATCCTTAATACGGAAATTACAGTTTGTAACCAATTACAAAAAGCTGGATTTAAATGTTATGCTTAGCATTGTATGGAAGTTCTGCAGCAAGGCAGAGGCTGAATTGTATCAATCAAGGCAGCATTCTTCTGTCCTATGAGCCCATTCCTTCTCTTGCTTCACAAAGCATTTCCAGCATCGTTTAATTTCTCCAGCAACTGGCTGGGGTTTTACCGATATCAGACTTTCAGAGGAACTCGTATCTGCTCTGGATGAGTTCAGCCATTCATGCAGCCACAGAGATTAGGATTTTATCCTCCTTGACTGCATCATAGAGCAATCACAGCTGGCGGAGCAAGGTGAGAAAAGGCTGCATAAATCACCCTAAAACTGACAGTTCCAAAGTTCCGAATGCTTGACCTTTCAATCATAATTTCCCTTTGAAATCGCTCTTTGCATGTAGTATCCTGGATTAAAGAATCAGTAAATGATCAACCCTTTCCCTGGAAACCTCCCACCATGGTCCATCAGTACCTGGAACCATGCTGGTGGACCTGTTAGGCTAGCAGGCCGAGGGGGGTGGCATACATACTGCTGTCGTAGCCTGACATATATACTGCTATTTACTAACAGGAGAACATCAAAGTTCAATTGTCAGATCAAGAAGAGGGTCTGTTGTAAAGGACACAGACCCCTCTCAAGGTTTCCACCAGCTCTGGTCCCTTCTGTTCATGTTAGGTTTCGTTCATCCCTTTCCACCAGCGCAGTTGCTGACTGCCACTCTTCCCGCTGATCACCCAAGCTCAGACCTTTCAATTGTCCCAGATAGTCACTGTGGGCCTGATACGAAATTCAGTGAAATCTCTGGGATTTGGATCAGACCTATGGACCTGCAACTGGGTTATATGTTTTAACAGTTTGTTAGAACAAAAAAGTCAAGTTGCTTATTTGCTAGTCACTTTTAGCCACTTACCAGACATCTGGCTGTGCTTAAAGAGAAGATATGACCTGTGAATGAGCCACTCAGGTCAGGAGAAAGAAGAGAAGACTGGAAGTAGCATAACTTTTTCACAGGTTTGTTAGATACAGAATTAATAGTTTTGAGAGATCTGGGTGCTCTTCTTAACACAAACAAATAAGCAAAGCATGGACTAGCATTTCGTTTTGCTGTAGGCTTGCTCCTTGTCACTACAGGTTTTTCATTGGGAACTTGGCAAAGGGAAGTCCCAGCTAGCAATAGATTTAGAAGGGACATGAAGGATTTTCTACAAAATGAAGTCCACACTGCTCATGACACAAACCATTCAACTTGGGGAGACCTATTTGTAGATCTGTGGTTACACGTTTGCAGTTCTGATAAGGTGTTCAGGGAAGAGCTAAGCTGCCACAACTCACATTGTACCGAAAGGCATGCTGAGGCATTCTGCTCTTGCGTGACATCGAGCAATCCCATCTCTGATGACTTTTTCTTTGTCCACCTCTTCGTCCAATGTTAGGAAACTGTGAAGTCACAGTAGATTGGTTTCTCTGGGTTTTGGTCAGAGGGGATGCTTTTTATGTTCCGTGAGGTTTGTTCTACTGCCCAAACCAGGGAAATGTAAACTCTAGAAGAAAGTGTGGTTATCATTTGGGAAGAAACAAGACATTTTCAGAAGGAAGCATAAAGGCCTCAAAGCTCATCTGTATATGAGAAGGAAATACGGTCAAAGGACTAACTGAATTCTGCTGCATAGCCTCCACACAGATCAACAGGCACATTGCATTAGCTTCAGCGTCTTCCAGACTTACTTTTGGCTACACTTCAGTGTTGATCAGTCCCCAGCCACACCACACAACTATTTCAAACATAACCCAGAGATCATTTTATCCATTCAGATTTCAGATCTGGAAAACAGAAATTGGTATGCATCAGAGCTGTCATTCCAGCTCTTGGGGTTTGTCCAACTCTTGGGGTTTGGGCAATTGCCATTGGAAAGACTGTAACACTTTCATTACTCTCATCAGCTCATAAGTTTAAAAAAATCTGTCAAAAATGTGAAATCCTCACTTCTGCCAGTTTGTCACCTCCCAGACATGTATGGAAAACGCTTGAGAGAGGAGAACATTACCAATCCGTTAATTATCAGTTTCACACAAAGCAAAGCAGGCAAGTGAGTGTGGTCTTGCATTTTAGTATCTGCTCTGATCATATATTTGTGTGCTTAATTATATTGTCTTTACAGAGTTGCCTATGACCCATAATCTACACATATGTATGGAAATACAGATATCTTAGGAATTTGTATGAGATAAGTTGAAGAGAAAGGGTGAGCATGGAGAAGATGGTTTGGTTTGAAGGGATTTGATATCTTTGAG